TGGTGTGTGTGTGTACCTTACCTAAGCTAATAACCAAACGTTGTACCGTACTTACTAAAAATTTATATCCAATTAAAACACGAATTTCATATTTTGGTTCAGCTTCTATTTATTAACCAGTACATTCAGAGATAGAAATATTTATATTACTTGAGTTGATTATGATACGTCATGCACCTGCACCTAACATTTGACTTCCTGTAATCTGCTTGTGTCAGGTTTCCTTGTAATGATTGATTACGTAAAATAAATCTACTCTCACATTATCGTGAATTTCTTAGTTATCAATCTAAAGTAATTTTAATTCACATTATTTTTTCCAAGGAACGTAATCTTCTGGTGTTCACGGGACCATCACAACTGCCTAGTGTGCCTCATGGCTGACTAGCTATCAACAAGTGAAGTGCCTCTGCACCTCCTCAGATATACGTGAGATAAGGTGTCGTAGCAGCGATAAATCATAATTATCAGAGTCAACACTCCGACGCACTTACCGATAATTTACAGTTTTATTTTTAAAAGAAGAGGAAGACTGGTTGACTGCAGAGTTCAAAGAGGATCGAGTGTGAGGAGCAAAGATTAAGTGAGGTTAAAGGTTGAACCATCTAAACAGTTTCACGTGAATCTTTCATGAACAAAATTACTTAGCCAGCTGTCGTAAAGTTTATAAATGATATGCCTCCTTGTACTTACCTTTCCATACTCTTATTAAAGAACGTCACTAGAATAATCAGTTTTATCTGAGCATGACTGGCGATGGCATTGGGAGTACTGGCGTTAAAAGAGATGTTACTGACATTAGTGACCTAGAATATGCACCCTAGGGTACTGTGTTCCTCCTAAGTTGTTATTGAACCCCTCATAGTGTTTCTTGACGCCTCTACTAACACGATAGCAGCACACACGCACATCCCATCGCTACCGAAGCTCCAAGAAGTGGTTGTGTTGTTCCCTCCCCGCCTTGAACCAGACTGGCATAAGCTGTCAACCCTGTTCTTGGTTCTGAGATACCAGGCTTTGACAGTTACTGATCTAAATTTTAATGACATTATTGAGATTTACAGATGCATCTACAGAATCATCCTTCTATGTTCTTAAGGCTGTTCCTTGTTGCAATTAGTGAATATGTTTCATCGCGGACTAAAACATAAGAGTAGAAACGACATAGACCCAGTAGTCTGTGCCCTCTGTAGAGTAATAGTAGCGGTTGTTGAATTGATTGATTGATTGACTGACTGATTGATTGATTGATTGATTGTGGTAATTAGGCTAAATCCCCGGTGATGCATCAGCCTAGGTAATATGTCGCAGAATTAAAAATAAAATAAAGACAAAATACTAAGATTAAAAAAAACAAGGTAAAGGACATAAGTAACAAAGACATAAAACTTTCGTAAAAAAAAAAAAACCTAAACGTTAATAGATAAAACTCAAAACTTCTATAGAAGGCCGGTTTCCTCCATAATGGAGGATGTCCTTCCTCTAACCCCCCACAACCAAAGAGATAAGGTAAGACACCCCGGCATTAGAAGAGGTGCTAACTACGAAGATTTCTGAGATTGGGGCACTTCACCAAGAGGTGTCGAACAGTCAATGGGACCAGGCAGTTATCACAATAAGAAGGGTACGCCCTCTCCATTAAAAAACCACTAGTCAGCTGTGTGTGGCCAACACGGAGGGGGCCAAACCAGTCTCCCGGCGGCGCGACAGTCCCTGATATCCCCAGGAATCCAATGCAGGATGGACGTTGTGGAGCTTGTTTGCTCCGATAGCATTCCATCTGCGTTGCCAACTCAAGCAGATGGGAGCTTTTATTACTGGCTTCATATCAGAGGCAGGTAGAGGGGAATGATGTGCCACAGGGCGAGAAGCAGCTGCTTTTGCCACAGCATCAGCACATTCGTCCCTCTTCTCCCCCACATGGGCTGGAACCCAGCAAAAACTGACTTTCCAACCCCGATGTTGGATGAGAAACAGCCACTGTTAAATATCTAAAACTAAGGAATGGGGTGATGTGAGACTTGCTAAAGCCTGGAGACCACTGCGAGAAAATCGCTAAAAATTTTAAAATTGCTATAAGGTTGGGTAGAAATAATCTTGAGGGCAAGTAAAATACCTGACAACTCTGCCATACAAATGGATGCCATAATGGGGAGACATAACGTCCAGACAGAAGTCGGGAAAAACTACCCCAAAATCCACCCCTGCATCCAACTTAGAGTCGTTGGTGTAAACTGGGATAGTCCCTCTGAGAGAAGCAGGGGGACCTCTGCTTACCAGTCGTCTCCACTTTCTCCTGGAGAATATATGGGAAATGGAGGAAATCCCCCAGGCTCTTAAAGACGCCCCCACCGTTAATATTTATAAGAACAAGGGAGACCGGTCAGACTGTGGCATTTACCACGGGATCTCGCTACTGTCCGTAGCTGGCAAGATTATCGCCAAAGTCCTCCTAAACAGACTTCTTCCCGAGGCGGAAAACTTACTCCCAGAATCTCAATGTGGCTTTAGACCATTACATGGCACCACTGACATGATCTTTGCTGCCCGCCAGATACAGGAAAAGTGCAGAGAACAGCGTCGTGGCCTGTACATGGCTTTCATCCACCTAACCAAGACCTTCAACTCGGTCAACAGGGAAGCCCTCTGGTGGACCCTCAGCCGTTCTGGCAACCCACCAAAATTCATTGCCATTGTGAGGCAACTCCACGATGGCATGCCCGGCAGTGTCGTGCACAATGGCACCCAGTATGAGTTCTTCCCCATCCAAACGGGGATTAAACAAGGGTGCGTACTGGCACCAACTCTATTTTCCATTTTCTTGGCTGTCTTCCATACTCGTGCCAGCGCAAATTTAGCAGGCGGGGTGGACATTCAGCACCGGGTGAATAGTCTTTTAGGACGATTCCTGGCAAGTACAAAGGTGTCGGCAGCTTTCATTACTGAACTTCAGTATGCAGATGACCACACCCTTGTCACTCACACTGAACACGACCTACAGGAGATCCTGAACACCTATGCAGATGCTTATGCACACTTCGGCCTTGAGGTGCATTTGCGTAAGACTCAGATCCTCTTTCACCTTGTCCCTGGTTCAGCCACACCTCCACCAACCATCCAACTTAACGGTACTACCCTCACTAATGTTACCCACTTTCGGTATCTCGGCTCCCACCTGTCCACAACCGCGTACATTGATGAAGAGATTCAGCATCGGATCAGATGTGCAATTGTGCATCCCAAGCCTTTGGTAGACTCCGAAACCGTGTCTTCAGCTGTTGGGAGCTGAAATTATCTACAAAGTTACACGTATATTGAGCAGTGGTCCTCCCCACTCTGCTATATGGCAGTGAGACATGGGTCACATCAAGGCACTTGAAAACTTTCACCAATGTAGTCTACGTTCCATCCTCCGTGTTCGCTTGGAAGACAAGAGAACAAATACCAGTATTTTTGCTGACACCAACTGTAGGAGCATCGAGGCTACCATTATCCATGAACAACTACGCTGGACTGGCCATGTTACCCGAATGGACGACAGTAGACTGCCAAAGCAGCTACTTTACAGTCACCTAACGAATAGTAAACATAACGCCGGCAGGCAACTGAAGAGGTATAAGGGTAGTCTTAAGGCTCCCCTCACTTGGGAGACGATTACTCCACACCGTAACGCTTGGAGGAGCACCATACAAGATGTCAATACTTTCGAGTTAGCCCGATTGCGCTAGATTCTAGCCCTCCACATATGCAACTTCTATGATCGACTCTGCCGGTCCCGTATCGGCCTCTTTAGTCACCTCAGAACTCACCAACCTAGGTGACATCCTTAATAACTCATATCATGGTTATGCACATCAACCTCTCCTCCGACATTGTCCCACCTCCTTCCATTACCCTAGGTCCGAACACACTCCAGGTTGTAGATTCCACGAAGCTCCTCGGCGTCACCATAGACAACAAACTAAATTGGAAACCACACGTCAGTGAAGTTGTCAAAGCCTCCAGTTTCCGTCTCCACCTGCTCCGCCGACTCAAGTCCCTCGGAGTTCCTGCACACGAGCTCCTCAGTGTATACACAACATTCATACTTCCCAAGCTCACCTATGCCTCCCCCACCTGGTCTTCCTCCCTAAATGCCACACAACGTAAACACCTAGAAAAAGTGCAAAAGAGGGCATGCAAGATTATTCTCTCCCCTTCCTACTCCACATATCAAGAAGCGCTCAACACACTGACCCTTTCGACTCTCACTGACCATCACCACGACCTCATCTACAAATTTGGTAAGAAGCTTCTACACCATCCCCGACACCGGCTCCTACTACCACCTGACATCCCCTGTCCGAGAATTGCTGTTCGACACCACAACCGCATCCAGCCCATACGTGCACGAACTGATCGCTATAAGAACAGCCCAGTCCCAACCATTGTAAAAATTATCAATAACATGTAATAAATCAGTGTATTCACTCCCGGTAAACACTGCTCCTTACACTGTCACTATGTTGAAATGAACTGTAGTTTGAGCTGATCCCCATCTAAGTTATTATATGTCTTATTTGTGTCACTTATGTCACTTGTATATTATTTGTAATTCGTAACCCATTCCCCAAATATGTAACTGTAAATTTTCAGCCTTCTGGCTGCCAAGCTCTTTCAATAAACCGTTAATTATTATTATTATTATTATTATTAATGATAGCTAAGTTAGTAGTAGTAATACCCAGGAGCTGTTCTAGGTTACGGATTGTCCTCATTAACAGAGGCAGATTTTTGTGCCGAAAATCATATGAGTCTTATAAAAAAAAAGTCACTGTTCATTAAGTTATAATTAGATAAAACCAGGAACAATATTTAATGTTAAACAGCAGACAGAAAACTTTCATAAAATCATACCACATACATGTGACATATACGTAGACGTAAGTATGCTAAGCGATATATTCATCATTTGTTCTGTTGAATTGCTTCACTTCTTACCTTGATCTTTAATCCTATAGGTTCGTATGAGCGCTCAGTCCACCACTAACAGCGGGGACAACAGCAAGCATAGCGAGACCAGCAACAGCCAGGAAGAGAACAGACTTCAACAGTAAGACAACGACGAGATAAACACCTTACACAGTACCAGGGAGAGGATGGTCAAAGTGTCAGCAAGAACAGCAGGTACAAGGAAAAAGGCAGATTTAGCAGCATAAAGAATAAACATTAAGGATAGCAAGAATAGTAAAAGAGACGTAAGTAGAGCATTAACCTCAGAAGCTGTCAAGAGCAGCAGCACCAGTACCAGCAGGCACAGCTGAGGTAATAAGACAAAAACATTACTAAGAAAAGTAGGCATAGCAACGGTAGTAGCAACAGAGACAGCAATATGGCGGAGATGGAGAAGTCGGTCACACAGCTGGTGGAAGAAGTGGAGGAGTGGAAGAAGCCATCCCATGCCACCCAGTACTTTGCTGCTTTCTCGGGTAAGGAGTATACAGATGTGCACACGCCCACATACACACATGTGCAAATATACGCACACATAACCACACCTGGGTACGTACAACAAACACATATGCACTCATGGTTACAGATATTTTTAAAAGTTTCTCCTCGATTTATTGATTTATTTTTTAATGTATGACATACTTTATCAACATCTTACTTTAACACTCTATGTTTCTCCTCCCGAATAGCATCAATGAGTGCCATGGCTGTAGGCGCAGCCATCGGTTACTCCTCCCCTGCCTCTGCTGCACTTCGTTACACAAACTCCTCTGACGAAAATTCCGATGCTTTCTACCTGACCAAGGGGGAATTAGGTTGGTTCTCTGGGTCCCTCAGCATCGGGGCGCTCACGGGTTGCATGCTAGCCGGATTATGCATCAACAACATAGGCAGGAAAGGCACTATGCTGGTGTCTGTCGTGCCTCTCTTGATTGGCTGGATCCTGATAGGTCAGAATCTGTTGAATGTGGTCCTCCTGTTAGGCAGATATATTGCACTTGTATCACTTTTTAAATGTGTTCATACCTGCATTAATCATCCAAGTGATTGTCAAGGTACCTGCGTGATTTTTCGTTTTCTTTATTCTGCCTCCTCAGGTTTAGCTCAAAACCTAGCCATGTTGATTTGTGGACGCATCTTGTGTGGAGTGTGTACAGGCATCAGTTCCCTCGTCGTGCCCACCTACACCACCGAGTGTGCATCTAAGGACATCAGAGGAGCCTTGGGTAAGCAAACTGGCATATCCTCTCATCGTCAGTACATTCATTTCACTTGTTTTCTGTGACTAATCATCACCATCGTAACAAGAGAAAATGGAGCATACTGTAAATGAGAGTCATCGTTTATAACAGTCCTAGTGAACTGGCTGTCAGAACAGAAAAGTCGAACTTAAAATCTTATCTTCAAAGCATTTCTGAGGTGCATGCGCATCTCTGTGCCATTATTAGCTATTCATTTTCAAAACTGTAGCCGGAGATTGCAAACAGGCAAGAACACAGTCAAACAGACACTCTCCTTTATATTAATATATTAAGACAATCTACACTAATCATCCCAGGTTGGTAAAACATCAGAGGCAATATTAGCTTTCTAAGAAAAATATTTCATTCACAAGATCATCGAATTTAATTCCTGTATACTGTATATGTTAGATGGCTCTGGATGTGTCTGATGAAGAACTTCTTTAATCTTGGAGAAAAAGAACTCAAATGTGCTCTTGTGACCAACCCTCTATTTAAACTCAACCGAATATTTCCTCAAAACATGGAAAATTTTCTGCTGTTTCAGGAACGGGTTTCCAGTTGTTCATTACGGTGGGCATTTTGTACGCTTACCTGTTTGGTTCAGTGATGGAGTCATGGCGGTGGCTGACAGCGGTGTGTGCTGTCCTGGGTCTGGTGTTCCTTATGCTGGCTGTCTTCCTCAAGGAGTCGCCTCACTACCTCCTCTCTAAGGGCAAGGAAGCACAGGCCAGGCAGTCTATGCAGTACTTTCGAGGTCAGGATTTACAGTATTAATTTTTTTTCATTTGACTTTTCAATCAGGATATCTTAGTCTTCTTATTCACTTGGTTATAAATACTGTATAGGGTTATCTACTATTATGCTGTATTTCAACAGTATGTCCCTTTGCCTTTCTAGCAGGCTATATAATCTTCATTAATCTCTCTCTCCCATTTTCTGCCAGTCATTACCAACTACTTTTTCAAGCATAATTTTCAAACAATTATTTTCAACAGTTTCATTTGGTGATAATTTTCTTTAAAAAGGCACGAGTAATGCAAGAAAGATTTATGAGTACAGTACCGTACTTTATGGTTTATAAGACGCACAGGTATATAAGAAACACTCATATTTCAGCAGGAAATATTGTATTTGGGAAGAAATCTTGTGTGTGTGTGTGTATTTTCTCCTGTAACCATAGTTTTCTTACAATAAAGGGAAAATAAAATCCAAATTAGCAGTGATATCTCCGTTAGCCGGAACAACTGGTGGAGAGCACTTCCAAGAAAAGAGAGATTTCCGGGTAACGAGACGACTCTCTCAAAGCCGGAAAAAATCCCTCATCCCCGGAATTGCACGGAATTTTTTCGGTAACGGAAAAATGTTCTCGGAAGTTCCAGAAATTGCCCATTACATTATATATCGAACCCGGAAAAAATCTCTCATCCCCGGAATTTTCCGGGTAACGGAAAAATTTTCTCGGAATTTCCAGAAAATGCGTCTAATTTCCATCTCTCAAACCCGGAAAAACTCCATCCCTGGGATTTTCCAAAATTTTCTGGGTACCAGGAAAATTTTCTCTTAATTTTCCGGAAAATGTGACCCTCGGAAAATCGTTCCCAAATCCGTAATTTTCGGACAATTCCGGCTTTGGGAACGATTTTCCAAGAAAATTTCAATTCCAGCTATCGGAGAGTTCCGGGTTTGAGGGATTCTGACTAATGTCGATATTACTGTACTGTATTAGTACTCACTCAGCTGTTATTGTTACGATTGTTACTCATACTAAGATGTCCATACTCAATCAAGCCCAGAGTACTGTCCTCATATCTGAGGGTTGATGACCACAGTCCTCCACTCTAAACGTTCTCCAAAAACAGGAAATGACAACTAAATACAAGTCTTTGCTGCACGACAATAGATGATGTCACTCGCTAGTGAGACACTACAAATGCGTGTTGATGGCTGTTGATGTTATTCACCATTATCATCTTAATTATAAGTTTCTTTCAAAAGCTAAAGGACATGTTCTAATAAAAATGATAAGATAAATGTTTCAGGTATCACATTAACTCAGAAGAGTTGGGTGCCTGCCATACAGACTCTAATCGTCTATGGTTATCATCAGTACAGTAGTTATAAATCCATCTTTTATATTTACTGTACAATAACAACATAACATATTTTTAATTCTGGAGTTGGACTGGGTAGAATTTAGCCTGCTGAAGACAGCAACTGGGGGATTCATTAATCTACTGGAGTCTGCAACTTCACATATAAAATGCAATTTGATTTCTTTAGCCATTTAAAAAAAGTCATATTATACATTGTAAAATGCAATATAAACTAAAAAAAAAATTTCACCTTTGCAATTCATAGAATTAGGCAGAAAATGAAGAAAGCACTTAACAGTTTGCCTCTGAAATCGAAACAGATATCATCGATTTACGCTTATGTTATCCCTGCTACAGGTAAGTCCTACGACATCGAGCTGGAGATGGCGGAGTTGAAGCAGTCCCTAGAGGAGTCGTTGCAGGTGAAGGTGAAGATGAGTGACTTGACGAAACCTTACATCTTGAAGCCGCTGATAATCACTATGCTCCTGATGGTGTTCCAGCAGATGGCCGGCGTCAACGCTGTCATCTACAACATTGTCATCATTTTTCAGGTCACCCCCCCCCCCTCTCCGTATACCCTGTTAATTATTCTTCTGAGCATCATTCATATCATTCACGTCTCGCATCTTCTTTTCCTCTTCACTTGTCCTGATCCCTCAAGATATCCTGATTTCCCCCTTCCTTGTTTTGTATTAGAATAAAATCAAGCCAGAGTATCTATTCCAAATGTTCCACCTCCCCTCATATGTATTTCATTCAATAATTAGAACAGTTGCCAATTAAAATATTTCTCTCTCCTACACATACACACAGATTATAATCACATTAAGCAAGTGGTTATAAAGCATTAGTTACTTTACTCAAAGTGTATTAGATCAGCAGCTTCTTGAAGGCGAGTTTCTGGTTTTTTGAGTCCACATCTGATGGCTAACATGTTGATGTTTTAAGCTAAGCTGATCTGAAGCTGTATTAAGCAGATCTCAGACTGACGTGGACTAGAGGTTCAGTCTTATACCTGTATCAACAAAATATAAATTACATCAACATTTTCTACATTTCATATTATTAAATGTACAGTATTCTTAAAACTTTGGATTGATTAAATCTAAATTAAAAATTTTATAGAAACTTTATAGTTGACTCATTATTAACATCATTGAGTTTCGTTTCTGTTTTCTAATATCTTGTTTTAATCATAGTTTAAAATTTTTAATTCTGTAGGAAAGAGTATGGTATTTCAGCAGCAAAAACTTTTGGAAATCCGTTTTTAGATATCATATTATTTGGAAAATCTTAACATATTTTTTAACCAAACATTAAGAGGAAAATTTTGTGTCAGTTAGGAAAGTGGTTCTTATACCTCAGGAAAACAGCTGAGTACATAGAAAGTTCTCCCGCAGGACTCCGGCAATACGTTATCCGACGACATGTGCACCATTGTCGTAGGTGTCGTGCAGGTCCTGGCCACCGCCTCCTCCACCATCCTCATCGACCGTGCCGGGAGGAAGGTGCTCCTCTCCCTCTCTGCTTGCTTCATGTCAATTTCCATATGTGAGTGTAGTGTCTCATAAGTCTTTGCATAAAGAGTGTGAACCTTTCAAGCATGCAGGTATCCCCCTGGTTACGGAAGGGTAACGTTCCTAAAAATCTTTCTGTAAACTGAAATTTTGTAATGCGAAACCTTTTTACCATTGACTCCCATTATATAAGTTAAGATGCGTACCCAAGGAAAAAAATTTCAGCCCAAAAAATAACACAAGCATATACAGGTATATGAACGAAAATAAACACATACAATGATTAATTCATGATGTAACACGACAATAAATGCACACACTTGATTTTAACTCACCAGAAACAATGTTGAGTGCTGCAGGAGGTGGTGAGGTGAAGTGGTGCTACCAGAATTATTGGGAGATACCTCTTTAAAACACCAAGTTTAATGCCCAATGCAATTCCTTTATGGGATCTTTTATTACCACTGCTTTTACTTAAACTTGATGGTCTTTTTCCACTCATCTTGAATAAGGGTACACAGTAACACAGATGCATAACTGAACACAAACTGGGGAAAGAATTCTAACTGAGCAACATCACTCAGTTGCTGGCAACTGGAGAGGTGAGAGAGCGAGTATGATTTTACTCCCGGCAAGTAGCTCACAACAAGAACGTAAAACGAAATTTTTTTAGCCTTTGGTGTAAATTTGATAAAATATTGTGACATTTTGTAATAAAATAAAAACTATATAAAGCATTCTTTCACATAGCCCGGGGCCGAGGCCCAGAAACCTCACCTTATAAGCTTAAGCTTCTGACTCATTCCTGCCTCTGCACTCGTTTACACTTACCATGAGTCTCCAACTATGTGTTTTTCGTTATTTTCGACTTTGTGTGTTATGCAATCATGCCTAAACGTTCAAGTGATACCTCTTGTGCTGGAAGCTTCTGATGCGATGTGATGTATTAGCTGGCGCGTAATAAGAATGGTGATGCACCAGCAAAGATTGATTTTGGTAGTCTTGATTTTTCTGTTACTTTTTAACTTAATGTAAGTTATGCAATCATGCCTAAATTCCCCAATGATAGTTCTTTCCTTTGTGCTGCCCCTCTTGTGGCAGCTTTGATGTGATGTGATGTGATAAGTAAAAAAGTTGTGATGGACCAGCAAAGATTGGTAGACTTAAACTTGCTGCTCAATGTCTCTACCATCCTCAACACAGGTAAATGACTGTCTCAACTTATACTTTACATTCCTTATTTATTGTTTAGTATGCTTGCTTTATATGCCTGCTTTTTTTTCTTTGTTGATAGTGTATTACCACCAGAGATATATGCATATATCAAGGGTAGATGGGAGTTTTGCTGGGTGGCCAGTTGTATTCTTTTATGAGACCAATTGCTTCGATAACCACATCCACTAGCCAACGACTTCTCACGGTCCTCTGTATCAGGTATGCCTGTAAGTGGTACATTTTTCATAGCCAATAATAAATGCATATGCCATATTCATTCATGTAATATTCATTTCCATAAGCAAATTTATGGTTCCTTGTCCCTGCACGCCAGTAAATAAATCCTACATAAAGGAGAGACATTTACTGTGAAATTGTAACAAAAAAGCTGTTGCCACAAGATGCTGGAAGGTTTCTTAACTCCCAAGGTCCTGTCACTCTTCCTGCACCTACCTGAAATCATGTAGTTTAGGTCTGTCTAAGACCTATTCTACTTGCATGTGGACTCCCAGAATTTGTAAAAGTGGGTGATGGTTCCAGTCCATAACAACAGCAGAAATTTGGACATACCGTAGATATGTACTGCAAGAAGTCATCCAAAGATCCAGCGACCCCACCCTGAGTCTCGTACTGGCAATTTTCGTGGCAATACTTGAAAAGTAAGGCTGTGTGTGTGCTGTTGTGATTGTGATGGGTGATCTATTTTGGCTGTATCACTATCGGGTAGGGTGGCCAGACGTCCGGTTTTAAGACTCTGTCCTCCGTCCGGCGCTACCCCCGGAGCTGACGTTAATTTGTCCTCCTTTGTTGTCTAACCAAAAAATTATATAAATTACCTTAGGTATACTTAAACAGCGGGGAACTGAAGGCCATAATAACCATTAAAGTATTTTATTATGTCGTTAAGCATTGTTAACACTGCTGATGAGCCGCAGTGTACGACAGTACCTCGTCAAGTTGTCACCACCGTCATCACGTCCGAGATGGACAAAGTAACGGACTATTATGTTATCATGGTCATTCGCCCAAGGCTGCAGTGGAGAGTGAAGACTTTTTTGTTCTTCCTTCAATTTGGTTAGCATATGCTGTTGAGCAAGAGTAAAAATGAATATTCATTTCTTTTCAGTTCCTTATTTATACTGTATGTATGTAATATATACAGTATGTGTTTCAATTTTTTTAAATTTACCACAAAATAGCATTCATCTCATTATAGTGATATTTGACAAATCAACAATTCTTCTAAGTATATTTGTATATTTTTTACAACTCTTTATATATATTCAACTCCTCATCATTAAACATACTTAATTTAGGCTAAAAAAAATAGGTGTCGCAAAAAATAGAAAAAATTTCCTCCTTTTTGGAAAATTTAAAATTGCCACCTGAGGATAATTAGATAGTTAGTCAATTCAAAGGTAGAATTTAATATTAACTATTCATTGTTATTTAGTAGTGAGTTTAAATGTTCGTATAATATTATTTGCTGAAACAATGAAGAAAATTTAATCTGAGAATCTTGTGGCAGCCCCAGTGTTTTAAATTCATCACTATTAATATAATTTCTTCATTATTTACAAATAATTCGTATACGAACATTTGGAAACTTCATGATCTTAAACAACAATGAATAGTTTATTATTATAAAATTCTACCTTTGGATTGTTTATTTATCCTGACAGTGATAGAGCTAAAAACAGATTCTCTAAACTACAACCCCATTACATATATCCTCCCTCACTGGGCATACCGGATAAAATTGGTGAGTACAAGAGCCAGGGTGGGGTCGCTGGATCTTTTACAACTACATTTAGATGCATCTCTCGTAGAGTCGGTAAGTGATGGCAGAAGAGATTTTACAGTGCGAATCCAGCGGGCTCACTCTATTACTAATATTGTTGGGGGACACTAGTTTGCTTTTTCGCCTTTTTCTTTTTTTACTGGCATTAGCCCACTAAAAATAGAGCAAAATAGTAAACAAAAATATAATATAATACAATATGTCCGGTTTGCGTCACAAGTATAAAAGCTTTAATTCGTCCTTTTTATATAAAACAGGTTACTTATTTTTCTATGTGTATAGTGGAAGGTGATAATTACTTGAGAGAGCATTAAGAAGCTACTTTAGTTTGATATGTACCTCATTACCATATTATTCCTGCCTTTATGTTCTTTTGAAAAATGGCTGGTGTGTGGTGGCCACAACACATAGTCTGTCTGCGTAAGTTCTTCTCACGAGAAAAATAGGGACGAGACGTGGGCGGAAGATACTCTGGGTTGGCCACGCTCACCTCCCTACATTAGTATTCTCCTATCAATGCTCTCTCCATTGTTATGTGGACCCATCCCCTGGATCACATGTAAGTGGCCTTAGGAGTGATGTACTCAAGAAGACTCTTATGAATTGATGAGAGTAAGACATGATTACATGGAGTAATGGATGTTATATTATATTATCTGTCATTTACTTGGTAAGATAAACAGATGAAGAGAAAAGATTACTGGTAGATTATGTATCATAACTTAGCTACATAAGTGATATTTAAGGAATTTGCAATTACAGTACTGTATTTTAAATTTCATCTGCTAGCCATATTATTAGCTATACAGCCAAGTGGATAGAGCGCTTGCATCCTGACCACAAAGGGTCACTGGTTCTTGTCCAGTCCACCCAGCTGTGAAGGTACTACCCAATTTTACAATAAGGAAGCATTTTAGATGATATGTCGAGCGCATCATTTTAGATGATAGCGGCCTGGGTATATATCCATACTGTAGGAATCTATTATTAAATTATTTGTTGAGATATACAGACAGCACCTGCATCGCTAAATAAATTCTCAGAGTATTGTTTATCCGTGGGCCAGGTGAGCTGTTCTATCCTAACGTGAAGGAGGCGGTGGGTAGCATGGCTACCACGCCTAACTCTGACTTCTTTTGTCTTCATCATCACCTTTCACCTTTGAGCCTTTACAGGTAAGACTATTCTCTGTTGAATACCAGCAACATGTTTGTGGACAAACTTGGATGTTTTACAAGAAAAAGGGTACTGTACACAGTACAGTAGCTGGTGTTTTTAAAACGAGGAACCCAGAAGTCTTACCTTAAATGGATCAAATTCACTGCTTGGAAAAACACAAATAATGTAAATCCAACTCTCTATACCCTACTAGGAGATATGTCTCCCATTACAAAAATTTATAAAGATCATAAAACTAATTTGCACTGTCAGAGGGTCTGCCCCTCATCATTAGCATTTGGCTGAATACCTTCACCAGGCTATTTCTTGTAATACACACCGACACTTACGTCATTCAGTGTCCTCAGACTACTCCAAAAATTTTCACCCAGGGTTGATATTTTAACCCAATAATCCAAACCACCCTTCTTCCCCTCACACCCATTGGACCCAAAGCAAAACAGTTAATCTTCCGTGAAATGGGAAGTTTATTTTATTACATAGTACTGTACCAAGTGTGCAGACTCCAGCCCCTTTTATAATATCATTTCCAAATCTTTTCTGTGTACAGCGGTGAAACGCGGCACTGTATTTTTAGTGTATGCAGCCCTAATGCACCCTATTCCTTGTAACCCAAAATCTCACTGGCATAGTAATTTCCGTCACCATTTAGATATTTTTCTTTGTTTTACAAATGCGAGAGAGAAGATCTCACCCATCAGTCCATTTGTTGATATGGTAGTTAAGTCCCACAGTTCATAGATTTGAACTAGTGTTGTGCTCTCGCAAAAAACAAGGAGGAAAATTGTGTGAGAGTTTGGGTGAATGGACAGTAAAGCCTTTAATTTGATTTTTGCTGAATATACTTGAGGAAAGTGACTGGAATAGTCACAGAAAATAGATGTACTTTAAAAGTATTATAATTTCATTTATATTTCATTAAATTCATTTGTTTTTTACTTTTTTACCTTTAGGATACAAAACAATGAAGTATAACAGCGGTCCTAAAAATCTTTCAGTGTAAATATTCTGTATGAACCATGGTAAGAACTGGAGTTAACTACAGTGTTGTAATAATACATAAAATAAAATACCCGTTTTCTATGGAAAATGAGGCCAGTAAACAATAATTTTCGTTATTTTTACTAATTATAGTGTATGTATATATATATATATATATATATATATATATATATATATATATATATATATATATATATATATATATATATATATATACTCATTTTTGGTCCATATAACACGCTGACTTTGAATAATGGTCATGCCCCAGCTGTGATTAACCCTTCCATTGCTAGGGACTAGGAACTGCTACCACCAAGCCATGACACTTTTAGCCTGCAAGTTCCCCAGTCCCACGCAGTAGGCCCAGGTCTCAGTCCCATGGTGAGGTTGTTGATTATTATATA